GAGCCCCTCAGGTTGGAAGACGGTCAAAATATGACAGGGGAAGAGCTGCCTCCTCAAAAGTAGAGTGGACCTTAATGATGTGGATGGAGTAGGGCTTTCAGGACCTGTACATAAACCAACAGGCAGTTGTTCAAACAGAACAAGAAGATACTGCGTGGTTTAAAATCAAGAAAGGTGTGCTTCAGGGTTTTATCCTTTCACCATACTTATTCAATCTGTATGCTGAGCAAATAATCCAAGAAGCCAGACTACGTGAAGAAGAACACCGCATCAGATTTGGAGGAAGACTCAACAACCCGTGACATGCAGATGACATAACCTTGCTTGCTGAAAGCAAAGAGGACTTGCAGCACTTATGATGAAGATCAAAGACTACAGACTTCAGTATGGATTACACCTCAACATAAAGAAAACAAAATCCTCACAACTGGACCAATAAGCAACATCATGATAAACAGAGAAAAGATTGAAGATGTCAAGGATTTCATTTTACTTGAATACACAATCAATGGCCATGGAAGCAGTAGTCAAGAAATCAAAGATGTATTGCTTTGGCCAAATCTGCTGCAAAAGACCTCTTTAAAGTGTTAAAAAGCAAAAACGTCATCTTGAGGACTAAGGTTCACCTGACCCAAGCCATGGTATTTTCAATTGCCTCATATGATGTGAAAGCTGAACTACAGATAAGGCAAACTGAAAAAGAATTGACTCCTTTGAATTATGGTCTTGGCAAAAAATATTGAATATGCCATTGTCATAGACTGAATTGAATTCCCCCAAAAATGTCTGTCAACTTGGCTAGGTCATAATTCCCAGTATTGTATGATTGTCGTCTGATGTGATTTCCCTATGTGTTGTAAATCCTATCACTATGAAGGAATGAGATGGATTAGTGGCAGTTATATTGACAAGATATAAAAAAGAGAAGCAAACAGAGAGACATGGGAACCTCATACACCAAGAAAGCAGCTCCAAAAGCAGAGCACGTCCTTTGGACCCAGGGTTCCTTTGTGGAGAAGCTCGTAGTCCAGGGGAAGATTGACGACAAGGACGTTCCTCCAGAGCTGACAGAGAAAGACTTCCCCTGGAGCTGATGCCCTGAATTTGGACTAGTAGCCTGCTAGACTGTGAGAGAATAAATTTCTCTTTGTTAAACCATCCACCTGTGGTATTTCTGTTATCGCAGCACTAACTGACTAAGACAGCCATCAACTGCCAGAAGAAAGAATAAATCTGCCTTGGAAGAAGTATAGGCAGAATGCTCAGAAACAAGGATGGTAAGACTTCATCTTATGTATTTTGGAAATATTATCATGAGGGACCAGTCCCTGGAGAAGGACATCTTGCTTGGTAAAGTAGAGGGTCAGCAAAAAAGAGGAAGACCCTCAACAAGATAGACACAGTGGCTGCAAGAATGAGCTCAAATGTAGCAATGATTGTGAGGATGGTGAAGGACGGGGCAGTGTTTTGTTCTGTTGTACATGGGGTCACTATGAGTCGGAACAGACTCAACAGCACCTAACAGCATATATTTATATACACACACACACATATATAATCACGCTATGCGTTATACGGAGCCCTCGTGGCTCAGTGCTTAAGCATTCAGCTGCTAACCAAAAGGCCAGCAATTCAAATCCACCACCCACTCCTTGGAAGCCCTACGGGGCAGCTCTCCTCTGTCCTATAGGGTCACTATGAGTTGGAATCAACTCGACGGCAGTGGGTTTGGTTTTTTGGTTTTTATGTGTTGTAAAGGAGCCCTGGTGGTGCAGTGGTTAAGTGCTTGGCTGCTAACCGAGAGGTGGGCGGTTTGAACTCACCAGCCGTTCCACAGGAGAAAGATGTGGCAGTCTGCTTCTGTAAAAATGTACAGCCTTGGAAACCCTATGGGACTGTCCTACTTTGTCCTAGAAGGTCACTATGAGTTGGAATCAACTTGACGGCAATGGGTTTTTGTTTTTGGTTATGTGTAGTATTTGACATATTGCTTTTTTCACTTAATAAATCTTGTACATCTTTTCTCTTCAGAACCTATAGAGCTACCTCATTCTTTTTGCTGACTGCTTTGTATTCCAATGTATAATGTGAGGATGGTGTTCTATGAATGTAATCTTTATCTTCCCTGGTCTTTTCCCCCTTGGGTGGTGAAAATGCATGGAGAACATGAGACTATATAATGCAAAAGCAGTTTTTCTCAAAGAGGAGTTTGTGGAATCCTAGGTTTCCACAGACAGACTCTTGCGGGTCCACAAATTTTCTTTATAAAGTGAAATTTTATGCTTTCATTTTTTAGATAATCTAAAATGTGATTGTCAGCATTATCTGGGTCATCTGAATGACCAGCTTCTAATCAAGTATTTCCAACCTGTGTTGGTGCCCACTGTGTTTATGATTGCGATAATGTCAAGTCAAGGGGTAACATGAGAAGAATGAAGGCAAACCTAATTAAGTTTGCTGCAAGTGCAGGCGAAATGACGTCATGGTGTACTGTAGGAGTGAAGGTTTTTAACTAATTTAAATAAAGAAAAGTGGTGGCAGAACTGAATCATCACAGTAGAAAGCAGCTAAGTCAAAAGTATCTGTGGGGCATAATCAGTAGTATAAGTACTCACAATGAGGGCATGTACTTTCTTTCAGAAAGATCACAATGATGTGAACCACACAAATTCCATAGGTTTTAATAGTTTTGTTTGAAAGTAGTTTATAAATTTGTTTTAAGGTCTATCGCTGCCTATGTAAAAATTAAAACTATAGTTTATAGCAGGAAGAAAGAAAAAAAAAAGAGAGTCTATAGCTCCCTCAAGGGATTTGGTTTCTTGATTTAGAGGTTTAGGGTCATAGTTTCACAAGACATCCCAGTTAATTGGTTTAGTATTTTCTTTAGCGTTTCTAATCTACTTCCTAGTTTGCTGCATAGTGCCTGAGGTTTTAAAAGCCTGTGAGTGGCCATCCCAGGCACAACAACTGTTCTACATTTATCTGGAGCAACCGAGGAAGGAGAGTCAGGAACAAGTGGAAGATATGGGATGCGTGGCTAATTGCCTCCATGAACAACTGCATCATTTGTCATGAGACCAGAAGAACTGAATGGTGCCCGGCTACCCTTACTGAAAGTTTCTTATCAAAGATTCTATAGCAGAATCCTGATCTAAAGCGGGGGAAATGCAGAATAGATTTTCAAATTCTTATGGGATCCAGACTTTCCACAGCAATGGAGGCTGGAGGAACCCCCAGAACTACTGCCCTGAGATTATCTTTAACCATAAACCAAAAATATCCCCCAAAGTCTTCTTTAAATCTAACAATAGTTTAGTTTAACTAGTAAGGAATGTCTGACTTGAGTATTGTGTTCTTTTAAGAACTATTTACATGGAATCAAACTGACAACAGTAATTTGAAAAATTAGATTGGAAACTTAGGGAGCAGTGATCTTATATTAATGGGGGAGGAACAATTGGTGAAAGGAGAGTGAAAATGGTTGCACAACTTGAAGAATGTAATCAATGTCCTTGAATTGAACGTGTAGTAATTGTTGAATTGGTGTTTGTTCTGCTGTGCATACTCTCAACAACAAATAAATTGTTTTTTTTATTGTACTTTAGGTGAAGGTTTACAGAAAAAATAGTTTCTCATTAAACAGTCAGTACACATATTGTTTTATGACATTGGTTAACAACCCCACGATATGTCAACACTCTCCCTTCTCAACTTTTTTTTTGATGAAAATATACATAGCCAAAGATACACCATTTCAAAAATGTCTACATGCACAATTCAGTGATATTGATTACATTCTTCCAGTTGTGCTGCTATTCTCACTTTAGATGAAAGTTTACAGAACAAAATAGTTTCTCATTAAACAGTACATGTGTTGCCCTATGACAATGGTCAACAACCCCACTACATGTCAGCATTGTCCTTACTCAACCTTGGGTTCCCTATTACCAGCTTTCCTGTCCCCTTCTGCCTTCTAATCCTTGTCCCTGGACTGCTGTGCCTCATTAGGTCCGTTTTGTTTTATGGGGTTGCCCAATTCTCGGCTAAAAGATGAACCTCGGAAGTGACTTCACCACTGAGCAAAAGGGTGTCTGGGGGCCATACTCTCCGGGTTTCTCCAGTCTCCTTTTGGCCAATAAATCTGGTCTTTTTTTTTTTGTGAGTTAGAATTATGTTCTACATCCTTCTCCAGCTCTGTCCAGAACCCTCTGTTGTGATCCCGGTCAGAGCAGTCAGTGGTGGTAGCCGGGCACCATCTAGCTGTACTGGACTCTGTCTGGTGGAGGCCTTGGTAGCTGTGGTCCATTAATTCTTTGGACTAATCTTTTCCTTGTATCCTGTTCTCTTCATTCTCCCTTGCTCCTGAAGGGGTGAGACCAGTGGAGTATCTTAGATGGCTGCTCACAGGTTTGTAAGACCCCGGACGCTGCTCACCCAGGTAGAATGTAGAACACTGTATTTATAAACTGTTATGCCAGTTGAGCTAGATGTTCCCCAAGACCATGGTCCCCACAGCCCTCTGCCAGCAATTCAGTCCCTCAGGGAGTTTGGATGTGTCTATGGAGCTTTCATGACCTTTTCTTGTCCAAGTTGTGCTAGCTTCCCCAGTATTGCGTACTGTTTCACCCTTCACCAAAGTTACCACTTACCTATTATCTATTTAGTATTTTCCCCTCACCCCCCACCCCTAGTAACCAACAAAGATTGTTACTTTTTTCAACAACAAATAAATTTAAAAAAATTTTTTTAATTTAAAAAGGGTTTATAACTAGTTTTATGTTCACACATTTCAAAGTCACATTCTTTGAAAAATAATTTAAATTAAAAATCAATATCACTTATCAAAGATTTCCATACATTACTCAAGTTTGAGAAACACTAGCCTAGCAGTTAGCTGGATGTAGAAGCCCCAGACCAGTTTCATCATTTTGGGAAAATATCAGCACTAACAGTCAAATAGGCCTTTGGCTAGCTGGAGAACTTCTGTTGTTGGACTTAACTGTGAATTCATATATAAATGTTTTTCTACTCCAAAGTCAGAGAAGAATGATTCCTAAAAAAAAAAAAAAAATGAGCATATTAGAAAGACTGAGGGCCTAGGAACTAGGTTAGTTTTGCTTCCTGACCTGGCTGTACCATTCATGAGGCTTTGCTATCTCTTCTGCAGTCTAGGGGTTGATAATAATTCGAAATGTGCATATTTGCTGTAAGGACTGTATTTAACATAGTTAAAGCATCTGGAGCATATTAGTGGTATTCAGTGACAGCCCCTGACGTTACAGGGACACTTGAGCTGCAAGTTTTTGGCGTGTTCCAGGAGCATTATGTGATGCCTAAGTTTCTTATACGCTTGGGGAAATATTGTAAACTGGGCAACCCAATATTACACATATGATTAAAGTAGTCCTTTCTGATGCTATTATAACACATTGCCGTCGTCGAGTGGATTCCAACTCATGGCGACCCACGTGTTACAGAGTAGAACTGCTCCATAGGGTTTTTTTGGCCCTAATCTTTACAGACGCAGATAGCCAGACCTTTCTTCCGGGATGCCTCAAGGTGGATTTGAATTGCCAGCCTTTCGGTTAGTAGCCAAGTGTTTAACTGTTTGCACCATTCAGGACACGATCTAAAATAACACTGATGCACAATGATGATAATTATTTTTAAAGGTTTGGGAATTTTGCTTTACTTACAAATTCCAGCTTTTCCTTTATTAGTAACAAGAACACTGAGTAACAAGGTTGAGAACATACTCCAATTATCTCTTCTCTGAGTACCAGTATCTATTCACTTCTCTCCGCCTCTACCACAACTACCCTCATCCAAGCCACATCATCCTGCACCAGATGACTGCAAGGGCATCCTAGCTAGGCTCCCTATTTTCACTCAAGCACCCTTCAGTCCATTCTCCACACAGTATGTCACTATGGACTTCCTTAAATGTAATCAAATCAGCTCACTGCCTGCTTAACACTCTGCAATGGCTTCCATTGCATGTAGAATAAAATCCATTCCTTGACCGTGAGGCATAAAGCCCTCCTGATCTGGCCCATGCCTCTCTCACGCGTCTCCACTTACACCACTAACCCCCTTGTCCACTGTGCTTCAGCTTCACAGGCCTTCTTTCTTCAAATGCTCCATGTGCATTCCTGCTTTAGCGTCTTAGCATTCACCATGCCCTCTGCCTAGAATGCTCAGTTCCCCAAACTTTGCACGGGTACTTCCGGCATGTCACTCAGCTAACTTCTCAGAGAAGTTTTCCCTCCCCACACGCGTCATCACCTCTGTCTAGCACTCTATCTTCTTTTCTTTTCTTTTTTTAATTGATGTAATTAAATGAAGTTTACATTTCAAGTTAGTCTCCCATACAGAATTTTTTGTTTTTAACATACATTGTTATGAGACCCCAACTGCTCACCCCATTCTGTGACAGCACACTCCTCCCCTCTGCCCCTGATTCCCCATGAACATTCAACCAGCTCCTAACTCTCTCTGCCTTCCCCTCTAACCTCTGGACAGAAGCCGCCCCTTTGGTCTCTTATATCTACTTGTCTAAGAGGCACATTCTTCACGAGTATCACTTTATGTCCCACAGTCCAGTCCAATCCCTGTCTGAAGAGTTGGACTCGGAAATTGTTTTAGTTCTGGGGTGATGGAGAGACCAGGAGCCATGTTTTCCAGGGTGCCTCCAGTCTTAGTCAGACCATTAAGTCTGGTCTTACTAGTATTTGAGTTCTGCATCCCATCGTTCTATTGCTCCATCAGGGACCCTCTGTTGCATTCCCTGTCGGGACGTTCATTGGTGGTAGCCGGGCACCATCTAGTTCTTCTGGTCTCAGGCTGATGAAGTCTCCGGTTTATGTGGCCCATTCTCTTATTTTCTTTAAAGCACATAGTACTTTGATTCTATCTTTATCACGCATTTGGTAACTAGCTTATGCTATAGCATCTCTCTCCCTAGAATGCAAGCTGCAGGAGTGTCTTGCCACTCTGTCTTAGTTTCTTAGTACTGTTGTAACAGAAATTCCACAAATGCTTGGCTTTAGCAAACAGAAATTTATATTCTCCCAGTTTAGAAGGCTTGTTGTTATTGTTAGGTGCCTCATAGCAACCTTATGTACAACAGAACGAAACACTCGCTGGTCCTGTGCAGTGTTAACAATCATTATTATGCTTGAGCCCATCGCTGCAGCCACTGTGTCAAGGCTAGATGTCCGAACTCTAGGGGAAGTTCTCTGTGTCCGCTCTGGGGGAAAATCCTTGTCTCAGCTTCTCTGGCGTTCCTTGGCCATCCTCATGTGGCATGTATCTTCCCCCTCATTTGGGCTTGCTTCCTCCTGTGCCTAATCTGCTCTTTTTATATCTCAAGAGTGATTGGTTTAAGACACACTGTACATTCATATGGGTTCACTAACATAACAAAGAAAACCCTGTTCCCGAATGGGATTACATCCACAGGCATAGGGGTTAGGATTCCAACACATATTTGGGAGGCACACAATTCAATCCATAACACATTCTATGCTTGATATGATGCCTAGCACATAAAAGGCTTTCAATAACTTTGCTTGAATGAATGAATGAATACCCAGCTTCAGAAATCACCTACCTTCTAGTCCTGGCTTGGTTGCCAAGTAGTTGAGTAACCTCTGGCAAGTACTGAACCTCTTTAGGCCTCAGTTTTCCTTATGGTTAATTAGTATGCTGGACTAGATGATCTTTAAGGCCTTTTCTTGTTTTATATTTCCATGGTTTATACCTAAGTAGCATTTCTCTCTCTGTGTCTCTCTGTTTCTCTAATTAGCAAGCTCTTGGATTCACTAATAGTTCTAAATCAGTTGGAGATATTTAATACATAGACACAGAGCTCCAAGGATGTATGGTCTCTAGACACTCAACTGTCATCACAACCACATGTTGTGGTGTTTACGTTCCTTTGCCTGGCCGACCCCATCCAAACCACACCCTCCACTGCCAAGCCACAGCCCCACCCTGCCTGCCTTTGGAAGTAAAAATGGAATAGAAGGATCCCTGACTTTTGAAAAGAAAAAAAAGCTGCACAGATTTTAACTAGCATAATGCTTCTAGAGAAATTAGAGTACAGCTGACAGGATTGATAACAACTTCATCAAATTTCTGAATTTAATAAAGTCCCTAAAGATAAAAGGAGACAATCGTATTAACTTTTGGATACTGCTGGAGACAATTTCTAAACTACTTTTTCATACCTAGTTAAGCTGACTACACTTGTATATGCTTGACTTTTAGTCATTTAGTTTATAATATGCCAGAAATATACATTAAAAAACAATATTGTAATGATTAGATAGCACCATTACACACTTGAATTTATGTCTTTCCTGATTTCAAATCTTGTGAAAAATGGCCTCAGGAAATAAAAAAGGAGATTTCACCTATGGCTGGAAGAAGTGAAGTCAATATTAGTTGAAAGGGTGGTTTTAATTTGCTTTTAAATGCTTATCTACAAACCAAATTTTAAAGTTCAAAACCACACGAAGACTTCAAATCACAGCTTTGTGAGCTGGAAGAACATGGAGGCCTGCATTTAACAAATGAGCAAATTGAGACTCAGATATCAAATGATCAGTCCAAGGTCATATAGCTCATTAGTGTCAGAGCTGGAACTGGTCTCCTGGTTGATCACGCCATGCTTTTCTCAACATACCACACTGCCTTATTAGTAACCGTAGTTAACCTGTAACTTTCAGTCATATGTGCCATCCCAGTCCCAGACATGGTATATTGGAAGGTAAAACGATCCCTCCAATAACTGAGGAGCTAGGAATTATAGTATTAGTTGTTATGTTGTTGTTACAGTAAATGCTAATTTTTTTGAGTTCACATGTCAGGCACTGTGCTATGTGTGTTACCGGTGTTCTCCTATTTAATCCCCACACTTACTTCTATGATGTAGGTAACAATGTCATCACTAATACTTAAATCATTGTGTGCCAGGCACTCTTCTAAGACTTTTCCAGTCAATAAGTCATTTAATTCTCTCAACAGTCTATCTTACAGGTGAAGAAACTGAGTCATAAAGAAGAATCATGTCCAAGTTCAAACTCAAGGGCACACCCTTAAACCAATGCTTATGCTGCCTCTCTATGCTATATCAACTACTCATCAGTTTTTACTTTCCTATCACCTAACTGTTAGAAGAAATAACAAGTAGCTAATTTGACTTATCTTTTCCCTTCATCCACCTGCCTTCCCAGTACTAGCTGGTAATAGGGACATTTAAAGACAGAGGAAGCAAGAAGAGGAGAAGGCTGGCCCCAGGACCATCTGCAACCTGAATAACCTGGACAATCCAGGATTTGATTATGATATATGTAATGGTTAAACTTCAACAGGTTTTGGCTATGCTCATGAATATGCGTTTTCTGTGCATGGCAGCCTGGTATGAAAACATAATCTGTAAATTACTATGTAAGCCAGATTCTTTCAATGAGAAAGAGCAAAAACATGCTCAAGTTATGTACATTAGTGAAGGAATTTGTTGTAAGATTACCTGGGTGAACTAAGAAAGCACAGGAAACAGTCTCAGTGACCACACAGACAGGTCTTATGGAGCATCATTCATTTTTCTTCAGGTTGCAGCAGTAGCTCTAATCATTCAACAGCAGTTCTAGTTGTCCCCCAAGGCCAGGACTCAGCTTCTCTGCTAATCTCCTCTCTCTGAACCTGCTCACCACCAATTGACTCTTCTGTATACTTCTCTTCTCCTACTGTCTCTGCTCTGGACCTCTGTTTTTTTCCATCTCTTTATTTTCTACCCATATTCTTTTCTGTAGGGCTTACAACTAAATGTCATGAAAAAGAGAGGATCAGATTGGGTGCACGTGTTACCATTCAGTTGATGGTGCTCCACTGAAAGGAGCTTTCACACCAGGCCATCTCACAGCCTATAGATTGCTGCCCTCATCTCCCAGAGGAACACCTTTGGGTCCATTACTTGTGGCCAAGGTAGCAGGATAATATAGAACAAAGCAGGGACCTATGCTTAGAAG